TAAGTTAGATACATAGATTTATATTTTTGCATGGATTCATTTGATCAATATTACATTAAAAATTGATAAAAAAATTATTACATTATAAAAAAGAATGTACTTTATTATAATTTTTGGTTAATGAGATTTTAGAAGGGCATCTAATTCGTTGCTATAAAATATTTAGAATGGAAAAACAGGTGTTTGATCAATTATGTATTTAATTGGCAAGGTGTGGATTGAAAGAAACTAGGCGAATGGGAGTCTAAGAAATGGTTGCAATATTTTTAAATATGTTTGCACATGGATTAGGAAATAGGATGGTGCAAGAAAGGTTTCAACACTCAAGAGAAACTATTAACAAGCACTTTCATGATGTTTTATCAACTTGCAATATGCTTGCAATGAAATGTATCGAGCCACAAGATCAAACATTTCGTCATATATCAACAAAATTACAAAATGATATACAATCGTGGCTTTTTTTTTTTAAAAAAAAAATGCAATTAGATGGTACACATATTCCATGTGTGGTTAATGCCAGTAAACAATAAAAATTACATTAAACTATATGTTTAATATTTAAAATTTGTATTTATCTCTTTTATTAAATTTATTTTAAGTTAGATACATAGATTTATATTTTTGCATGGATTCATTTGATCAATATTACATTAAAAATTGATAAAAAAATTATTACATTATAAAAAAGAATGTACTTTATTATAATTTACCCATTTAAAATTAATTTTAAAAAATTTATCTGAACACTTTTAATTTTATCAAAATTAATTTTTAAAAATTTATTCAAACACCATCATATTTTAATAATTAATTTTTTTATAATCAATTGTTTTCAATTAATATTCAAACGGACCTTTCATGTCATTGATCAATTAACTTTATTTAAATTTAAACTATCTTCCGTCATTGATTCATTTTATTTATTATGCATTTTATTTTTTAATTTTAAATGTCAAATTCAAATTTCATGGGAGCGCTCTATCCGCAACTTTTCCATTCATCTCCGCTTCTCTTCCCAATGCAACTTTGCGTCTCTCAATACTCTCCGGTCTCCATCTTGAAGAAATAATGGATGGGTCTCTCTCGACTGTTCGGTGCAAAGTGAGAAACGGAGCGACAGAGAGACACAGAATATATCTTTCTTCTTCTTAGCACAGCAGAACCCTAGCAAGAGCCAACCCTCTCCTAAACATCTATTTATTTTCGTCTCGATTTCAACTTTTTCAAGACAGTCTTCATTCCCTTCGCATTTCTCCCTCAAGATGGTTGATACCTCATAACAGCCGATTTTGCTCAACACTATGCCCTAGAAGCATAGAAGCTGTGAAAATCATACACCCCTAGGCATGTAAAATTTAATCATGGTGCATTACCAGATCCTTTTATCTCAAATGAGCTTTCATGTCAAATTCATCGCTCCGATTCTTGATTGTGATGGCTTCTCTCGAATGAGGTTTTTAGTTTCTTCTTCTGTTCTTCTCTTCTTCTTCCTAATCAGATTAAATTCCTTTCATCTTGAAGAAAATGGTGCCGAAGTCTGGGAGAGGGAAATCGAATAAAGCCAAGGTAAAGAGGGAGAAGAAGCAAGAGGAAGGTTAAAAAAAGAAAAGAAAAGAAAAGAAAGGTTAGTGGGAATCTCTTCACCTGCAAACATTAATGATGCTAATGCTATCATGCTTCTTTTTCACTTTTTTGAAATTTGTTTTTTGGCTCATTAAGCAATTAAGGTTAACCTAATTTGTTTTCTTGTGCTATTTTAGCATCCATGCCTTCTTTGGTCAATATTGATGTCGTCACTCCTTATGATTGTCAAGTTGTTCTCAAGGTTCATATCTATCATCATTTTCCTAAAACCAAATAAAATTTAGCCTTTGAGAATAAAAAATTTAGCATTATTAATGGAATGATGGAAGAGTTTTTAATGGAATCGGAATTGGAATCGGAATTGGAATTGGAATCGGAATCGGAATAGAATTGAGTTTTAAAAGTGTGTTTGGTATGAAGATGAAATTTGAATATAATATTAATAAATATATGTATTTAAAATAGATAAAGACCAAATGCTCTTATAAAAAAAATAAAAAACTCAGCCATCATGATGGAGTGTGTATGTGGGGCACTTATGACAATTTCATGGAATTGTGGCAATTCCATCATGATGGAGATGGAATTGAATTCTAGGTATTTTGGTAGAATTGGAATCCATAAGGAATTGGATTCATGCATACCAAACAATTGAAAGTATGATTCCAATTTCAATTTCATTTCTCTTGGATCCAATTCTAATGTACCAAACATGACTTAAGATCTCTTGGACTACTAGCAAGAATTGGGTTCCTGGGAAATGGTACAGAATCAACGGTTCATGGACAGTTGCAAGAGTGAAGGTCTCATGGAATTATCCTGGGAATGATGCAGTTATTGCAGGATCATTGGACAACTGGGAAACCACATAATTAATTCATTGTTATCAACACTTTTTGTTCTTCCAGTTCCTTGATTTTAAAATCATAATTTTGATATTTGAAATTGTTCTGTCTTTTCTCTGCCAGTAACGCTTTATAGAGACTTGGGCCGTTTTCTGTTGCTGTAAAAACACTCCCAGTTGGTATATGTCATTATCATTTCATTATCAACGGATTTTTCACTGATGCTCCAGAATTGCATTGGGCTTGTGATGATTTTTGGTATGCCTATAATATTTTGAATTTGCAGGTAATTCCATGTTTGATAAATCCCATCTTTACAACTGTTCTGTCTGTTTCTGGGTATGCTTATTTAGTCTAGCTTCTTCTTCTTCTTCTTCTTCGTCTTCTTCTCCTTCTTGCTTCTTGATGCAATAGAGAGATAACATTTTAAAACATACTACAAGTTGCAATAGTTTTTTCTCTTATGATTTTTGGTTACTATTGTGTAGTTGTTTTTGTAATGTTTTTTCATTCCTGCATTTTTCATGGCTTGGAAAGATGGTATATCTGGTTAGTGATTGTTATTTTCTAATGTCTCATTTGGTATTTGCTAATTAAGTGATGAGTGCTTGCTGATTATTTTAGTTTGCTCATCAAAAGTGCATTCAGCATTGGTGTAATGAGAAAGGAGATACAATTTGTGAGATATGCAACAAGGAGTTGCTTTAGTTGTTACTTATTTTCCGGGGATGAAAGTAGAAGGAAAAAAATGTGGAGTTTAGTATTGGCGCCTCAATAATATTCTTCTATTTACTTTTGCTAGATGTAGTCACAGTTTTAATTTTTTTTATATGTATTGATATGTTTTATCAAGCTTAAGCTTTATTACCAATGAAGAACTCATACACGTTTATTACCTTTTTTTTTTTTTAACAAAAAGAAGCCATAGGTCCATACCTTGGTTTCATTGGTGAGTTTGCTTCTGTTATGCGCTACACTTGTAAGTTCTTGCTTATGTTCAGTTGTTCCCTTAATATATATCAGTATCATTTAAATGCAATCACTTCTTTGCTGGTCCAAAAAAAAAAAACAATTACTTGACTACTTTGAAATGTTTTTACAGGATATAAAAAGGAGAGCAGAAGTTCTTTCTCAAGGTTACTAATAAGATTATGATATAATCTTTTCAATTAATTGACTTATTACTTTTTTTGAAATTGTGCTGATCGCTGAATCAATTTCTTCCAAAACATGCTTATCAACCGGTGTTCCTATTGACGAGAACAATTGGCTTCCATTTTTCCCAATCATTCATCATAATATTGCCAATGAGTTACCGGCTCATGCTTAGAGGATGCAATATTTGGCCTTTAAGTTGCGGTTTGGTATGGGGACTTAATGAATTAGTTTTTTCATTGCCAATGAGATGCAAGTTCATGAGACAGTTACTAGCAATTATGTTGTGTTGGTGCAAATTCTTAATTGTAAGTTTTAATTTTTTAAATTGCTGGGTAATAGAAGCAGAATTGTTTTTTTGGTGATTACATTCTTACTCTATATACCGTTCTCTTTGTATTTGCTTGACTCCTTTCTTTACTTTGCTTTCTTATGTTTAGCCTCAGGTTGTTTATCCAGGATTAGCATTTTGGTACTAGAATGTTCTTATTTGAAGAATATTATACAATGTTATGTTCTTCTGATCCCAAAAAACAATCCACATGTACATCAACATGATTTTTCCTCAGTCTCAATTTGATTTTTTTTATTTCATCAATTTCATGAATACTACGAACTATATGTCATCAATTTTTTTTTAATGTTTATTTATGAAATTGATTTAATTTAATTTGAATATTTGAATTTTTTTGGTTACAGCATGTTAATACCCTTTCCTAACTTGATGGTACAATGTGCACCCAATGGAAATTCCCACATTACTTTAGTATATTATAATTCTTTCCTTCTTTCTACATAATTATTTTATTCTTATTTATTGACTTGATATCATTTTATATTTGTGTGGTTTTAAAGTTATATCATTTTTTTTAAGAATTTTTATCAATTTGTGAAAGTCATCTATTGATTTGTCATATGATAACAATTTGAACAATCTCCATAATGCTACAAGGATTTTTTTTTTTTCCAACGTGTATGGTAATTCTTAATAATCAAATATACTAAATTGATTGTAACTTTATTCCATGGATGGCAATTTTTTTTAACATTATTATGTTTAACTTTTATGCATCAATTTAGTCCTATGTATTTCATTTGAACTAAATTGAAATTAAATTTTTGAGGAAAATAATAGAAATAATCTCAATTCTCTCAAATAAAAATAATTGATATGGGAAAAATCAAATGAAAAATATTGAAACTTGATAATTCAAGTATGTTTATAATTAGACTTTATTTAAACATCAGTTTATAGATATATTTATACTTTAACAAATTATTTGACACTGCTAATTAGACTGAATATTGTAATCTAATTGTTTATTATCCGTGCAATGTGTGGAAGGCTAGTTGAATTTAAGTTTTGTTTGGTTAGAAGGGAGCAAAAAGGGGAGGGAGTGGAAGGGAGAGGGGGAAAGGAAGGGGGAGGTTTTGCAGGGGATTCTCCTCCCCTACACCTTGAAGGCTCCAAAAATAACCACAGCGCCGATTTGTTTTTCTATTGCGGGGGCGGGTCCTTGAAGGGGCAAAATTGGTATTTGGAAAATTGGAAGCCCTTCTTCCTTTCTCGCAGGCGCCTCTCTCGTCTTTGCAGTCGCACTTCTCTGTTCTCCCTCTCAGCCTCGGGTCTCACTCTAGCTGTCTCAGAGACGCATCACACAGCCTAAGAGACTCAGACTCAGCTCTCGGTCGGTGTCGATCGGCCTCGCCGCCTTGGCCTTCATTCCATTCCACCCTTCTTCATTCTCTAACTTCTTCAATGGTGGCAGAGTAGCAGACTGGGAATGGGAGCTCGAGCTCAAGCTCGTCTTCGCCTTCGCCTTCGTCTTCTTCACTCTTCACTGAGCTCAGAAGCGATCGAAGGTTACATTCTTCACTCTTCTCTGACCTTCGTTTTCTTCACCGTTAAAAACAGTAGCGTCGACCGTCAAGTCTTCACCCTTCTCGTTTTCATCTTATCCCCCACTGTCAGGTTAGGTTCTTCGCGATGCTTTCTTCTTTTTCTATGTTATTATACTTTTAACCTCTTCATTTTGATTACTAGCGACTTATATGCTTTGAATTGTTTTGTTGTGCAACTTTGGATTTGTTGTTTATTGGCATTATGTTTATTTATTTCTTTATATTTTCGTCTATTTAGAAAATTCTCAAGGTATTTGTGATGTATGATCTGGTCAATGACTTACTCGAGTTGTGTCTAACAATTTAGAAGCTTGAATTTAATTTGTCATTCTTCATTGCTTGGAGGAGTTGCCTGAATCAATTGCCTTACTAAGGCGTCTTTGTTAAAGTATCTGGAACAAAAATTAAATGAGCTCATAAAAAAACGTGTAAAATAGGGAGAAAAAAGAATCACGGTTTTAAATAGTGGATCAATTCACTAGTTTTTTTTTTTCTCCTTTCAATAAAAACCAGATTTAGACAAATTCATGTTTATTTGGTTTGGATTTTGGAAAACCTAAGTCATGTAACCTGGAATTTTAGGCTCTACAGATGTTTTTGTTTTTGGGGTCTGGAGGTGCTCAATTTTTGATTGTTTAAACATTTATTTTGGACTTTTGATGTCATTGAGTTTTCAAAATTTAACCATGTTTTTATTCCATTCTTAGTTTCTTTTTCAATAACCAAATAAAAAAAAAAAATTCTTTATGCCTATTCTTTTCCATCTTACCGAACATTCTTTGAGTTACAATGTTACCTCGTGTCATTCTTTTTTTGTTCCCTTTCACTTCCCTTTCCATTAGACTTCTTTCTTACAACCTAAGGGGCCCAAATGGTTGCAGAGCATCCTAGAAGCATTTGTACCAGACAAACAGTGATATTGCTTTTACGGTGGAGATATGTTACTTCTATATCCAATTTGTTTCTGAATCCCATCAAATATCCAAAATTTATGTGAATATTTGGTAATGTTTGGAAGAATATTAGCAGACATTAGCTACGTTTTGCTTGTGGAATTAATGTAGATAGTCTTGAATTTAACTTTTGTTATTAAATGCTGAATTGAAGCTGGTTGAAGTGCTTTAGAGGAGACTTTACTTGTTACGCTAGTGCTGCATTGGGTTATCATGAGCATTATGCTAAAATGGATGAGAGCACTGGTTGGAAAAATACCTGCATAAATGGTATTCTCTCATTAGGCTCAAGAGTGGAACGAGAATAATTTCCGTTGGCATCCATCTGTCATGTCTATTTCACAGAGCAGACCCTTTATTTTGCTTTTTGTTTTTTGGTTTCTCTTGTTTTCTGTCATCAGTTAAATTTAACTTGGTTCAATGGTTTTTATGACAGTCATTATTATTCATTTTGGAAAGGACAGCCAATCGCCTATGTTTAATATTGTCAAATTTTGTGGGATCTTTGTTGCTGTGCAAGCCAATTTTCCACCATCATTAATCCCATATGCTGCATTGAGAATTTGTCATTATGAGACAACAGTGGGTCAAAATGCTTTGGGTAAAAATTTGAAATTGTCACCGACCACCATGCAAAATTTTTTGGGATTTAGACAACAAACCACCCAAGTCATTGCCACCTTATGAAGCTGCCACTAAGCTGAAAGCTGCTGCATCTCACTTTGGTGTTGTTAAGCATATGGTGGCTTATGCAAATCATCATACTTTTAGCCATGTCCCTCAAAATGTTAGGAAACAAAGAAAAGAAAGGAAATTATTGAGTCATTTAGAGAACAAAGGTATTATCAGGCTAGATGAACCTTATCTTTGTCGGGTCTGTGGGGGAAGATTTTATACAAATGTGAAGCTTATTAATCATTTTAAGCAAATTCATGATCGTGAGCATGTAAAAAGATTGAACACGATAGAGTCAGCAAAGGGGAATAGGAGGGTGAAGTTGGTTGCCAAGTATTCAATGAAAATGGAGAAGTATAAGAATGCAGCAAGGAGCATTTTGACTCCTAAAGTGGGTTATGGTTTGGCAGATGAGATAAAACATGCAGGGTTTTGGGTTCGGACTGTCTTAGATAGGCCACAAGCTGCAGATATTGCATTGAAAGGTCACATGGTTGAGTGTGACCAAGTGCCAATTCTAGTGAAATTGCCCCTTTTTGGTGAATGATATAGGGTGGGTTTATATATTTAAATTGTGTTTGGATTGTGTTATTACATATATGATTATTCTATTATGTCATTGTTCGGCCCCTTTGACTTCATTCAAGCTTCAATGGAGGCTAATGGCTTTTGGTTTCTAATTGGGGCACTTGGATGTGTGTAAGTTTGTTAAAAATGACCATTTTGTATTTGAGTGTTCAATTTTCATATGGACTATCATTTTGGAATTAGATTGATGCCATTAACTTGATATTTGAGTAATTTTTATTTAGGTGCTTGAATCATTTTAATCGGATGTTAAACAAAGAAATTAGTTTTGGTGCACTGCCATAATAGCATGGTGTGCCGTAACGCATGGCATAAGAAGGGAGTAATCTTTATGTGTCATGCACCATAGGAAATGACATGCTGGCAGCAGTGCATGGCCCTTTTTTGGGTAAAATTACAATTTTTCCCCATTTCTTTATTTTTGATTTAATTCCTACGCTTTCCAAGTGTGTTAGACTTTGATTTTTAACCATGTGTTGAGCTCAACTAATGTTTTAAAAAAAGGTTTATTAGGATCTCAACTTTAAATGATTTTAAATATATTTTATTTAAACTTTTTTCTATCATGGTGAGTTATAACTTAGGAGAATTAATTAACTTCTAATTGCCATGATGGTGTGTTATGTATGCAATGTCTAGGTAATGTCAAGATAGATATTATAGGCTAACTTGTTCCTCTTGTTGCATAGCCTTATTGGTGAGTTCTTAGGGCCTAACTCACATAAGCTTATTTTTTACAAAAAAAAATTAGAAACTTGTTAAATTTTTAGATAGAATTAATAAAGTTTAAGGTCATGTACTTGTGGCACTTTCATATGGGGTATGAAAAAGTTGCCATGTTGGTATATGCGTATTGTAACATCCCAAATTTCTATTCCTGCATTAATGCTAATTAGGGATTGAATTAGTGATTTAATATGAGATTAGGGTTTTGCATTGTGAAGTGTTGTATTTGGCTTTTTAAGGTGTTATATGAATGTATATGAGAAGAAGAATGAGGTCTCGGAGCAGAGCATGTGAGCATAATTAGGATTTCTCTCACCATGCCACAAGCTGTGGTGGAGAGTGGATGCACTGTGGTGTATGGTGTATAATTTTGATAAGTGACTTTGTGGAACAACTCCTAAAATAGAAGGAGAAATAAAGTTAGAGGGGTCAGACATGGAAAAAGTGCCAACATTTGCTAGGGCAAGTGAAATTAAGAGCAAGGATGATATTTTTAACCTGTTACTTATTGGGTAAGTCTCGTATTGTCTTGACCTCCGATTCTGCCCCGTTTTTTCTTAGTTTTAACTATTGAGAAATTGAGTTCGAAAGTTTTAAGAGATTGATTTCTTACCCTATAGTAATAGAAAGGTTCTTTAAAACTAAACTAGTACTTTGTGACTGGTTTGAGTCAGAACGATAGAGCTTTGAAGCTATAGGCACGATTTGCCCTAATCTAGAGAAAGAGTAGTGAGAGAAAATATGTTTGTGAGGAAGATGATGGTTGTGGTGAGTGATAATTAAGCATGGTATGTGTGAGCGAAAGTGAATTGTGGAAGTGATAGCGAATAGGTGTTAGATTATTGTAATTGGCACTTTTTATTAATAGAGTTATTGACTCTAGGTGCCTAAATTGTGTAGACTCTAGCGTGTGACATGGAAATTTTAAAAGGAGCTAGAATAGGGCTGTTGGAATACGGGTAACCCTTTCTAATAAATAAAAGGGTTGAGGTAATCATACAATTTATTATGTTTATTAATTATTATAACTATGTAAAAGTAATTGTATAACTGTGGTTTAGTTAGTTTTTTTATGCATGACTTGGTATTGAAAACAAATTTAGTATGAAATGGATTTATGAAAAGAAGGTTTAAGGATTTCTAGCTTTGAAAATATATATATATATATATATATGTTATGAATAAAAGTATATAGTGTGCAAATGTGAAAGAGCAGAGAATTGTGACAAAAAAGTATAATCATAAGGGGTGAGAGTTTACTTAAGATATGTGGGGATGTGAGTGTATGGAAATATGTAAGTGAAAAATTCATATGGTCGGGCTAACACTATGTGACATCTAATGCATCATTATATGGGTTGTTACCATAGGTAATCAGGTATAGCATATTATATGACTGTTACCATAGGACATCTAGGTAGTCTAGCAACTCCATAGTACCCGTTAGGATGCGGTTAGGAATCAATAATACCTCTATCACAAGTGTGTGAAGAGGGAAATTATAGTCTATAGGTGGGTTAGATTACCTTTGGCTGGGTGTTTGTGTTTAGGTCAATGAGTGATTGATTCAGCAAAGCTTATGATTTCGTGTTAAAGAGCATGGGAGGTTCGATGGCTAGATGATCATGCTAGTGTGTCATTATGTGGAATAACTTGGAAAAGATGAAATTTTTTCATGCTTTGATATATATATATATATATATATGATATTACCCTACTTTTGTTACTTTAGTATAGTTATTTGTGATAATAGATATTTAACAAACTATATTGGTTATTAAAATTTTTATTTCACTCGTAGTTATATATATTTTTCAAGTTTTGGCATTAGTGGTTCAAAGGGAAAAGACATTGGCAGAGTTGAGATCCTTCATTAAATCCTTTGTAAGGATTTGATATAATGAACTTGTTTGTTGTTAGTTGTAAACTTGTGTATAAGTTGTCATAGGATCCAGTGAATATGCATAAAGTGGTGATTGTGGTATCTATGGTGATCTGTATGTGTGTGAATGATTGAGTGAGAATGGGCTAGTGTTTGAATTGTGGATATGAGGTGTACTTGAAGTATATGTGAAAAATATATGGCCTTGTATGAGATTAGGAAGAAGAAATGTGAATTTTCCCATCTGTGTTTTAGGCAATTTATTGGCCAATTGTGCATGTGTGTTATATTGTTTATATGATTGGTCAATCAGGTATATATTGTTTATTTAGATGTGGTCAAGACCTAAAAAGTAGCTAATGATGTATAGTTTTGAATTGAGATGCTTGAGTGGCAAATTTTGACTTAAAACGATCAAAATACACTTGAGTGTTCAACTTTTAAATAGGATATCAAATTGAAATGAAACTAATTTCATTAGTTAGATTTTGAAACAAGTTTTGTATGGGCACTTGAACTATTCCAATTGGACATCAGATGCAGAAACGGAACACATCTAAAATTCACACCAAAATCTGCAAAATGACAGCCAATTTAGGTGTGTTCGCCACGCACATATATTCACATGTCGTGGCGCATGGCAAAGAGCGGGTAGCTGTGGTCTTTATGCCACATGCTATGGCGCATGTGGCACGAGCCACAACGCACTGTTTTAATTTTGACCTAATTTTATTGACATATATATGTTCTCTTAGTCTTGGATGCACCTTTGTAAATTGCTTCTGCTGTGTAATATTATAATTTTGAGTAATTTATGCAATGATTTTGATAATTTTTTGTTTTGGGATCCCAAATTTTTCAAATTAAATGATTTGATTGATTAGTAGATTGTTAGGAGGATTGTATAGTAATATCAGTGAAAGCATTACACATATAGTGAAATTGGCTATATAGTTGAAGGCTTGATTTATTTGTTTTTTTTTTAATACAAACTACGAAGAAACTTGAATGTTATTTGACTATACTATCCCAAATTTAATCTCTTATTTTTTATTTGAAAAATAATTAATTCATTAAAAATATAATTATTATTTCAATAATAATAATTAGGCATCACGTTTTTAGCATTTTAAATTAAATAATTAATCATATTAATTTTTAGCATTAATGTATAATAAAAATTACAAATCTTTATCACATTTTTTAAAATTAAAAATTTAAAAAATACAAATAACTAAAGATCAAATTTTTAGCATTATAGATTAAAATTTATGTTATTTAAAATTTTTATCACATTTTTTTAAATATTTCAAATATATTACATTTGTATAATAAAAATTATAAATTATTATAAATTAATGCTCTTTTTGGTAATTGTATATTCAAAAGCACATTTCACTATTACAAACTAAACAACTTTCAGTGTACCAAACTAATTTTTTTTAAAAATATATTCAAATATAAATTTCGTTATAATAACTGACTTTCACTAAATTGACTTTCACCAAATGGATTTTCACCAAATGAATTTTTGGTAAATTGAAAACCAAACATGCACTAAATGGATGCCAATGCTAATGTCGAAGTCTAACCTAAATTTTATTATGCAATGCATGAGTTTTAAATTATGATTGGGGGTTTTTGTGTCAAGAAAAATGAAATGTAAACTAAAAAAAGTAATTAAGTAACAAAAAGGGATTAATTAACAAAAAAAAGTTTGATTCAAATGTGATGAAGGGAACAACTTAAAACTTCATATGGAGTTAACTTTTCTACCCAAATTTAATTAATTAGACCAAAGAGAAATGATAGAAGAGTGGAATTGATAAAAACAATCACCTAATTAATGAAAAAGGAACTCATAAGCACAAAATCTAATATTTAATCCACTAGAGAACTCATAGTGAACCAAATACTATTATTATAAAATAGGCAAATTAAATCTATTAAAACCAATGACATTTATTTCAAAAATAAATCTGGAAAAAATGTTTGAATTATCTAATTGAATAATTAGATAAATTACCAACTCAATTGAACAATCAAGAGGTAAAATGAACAACCCAAATTTGCAAAAAAACACCATAATGACAATTAAATCCACAATGAAAACTCAATCATTAATTTAATTGGCAAAGCAAGAGTATATAAACATAAATTCTAGAAATTCATTTAGCACAAATTCAATCCAAATATCAAACCAATCCAAGATTCAAAAATATTTACAACCTAAAACTAGATTGTACTCAAACATTATAACTTAAAATCATTTAAAATTAAATAATCCTAAGCTCTTGAATTAAAAAGATAAATGAAAAATCACTCTCCAATAGTCTTCAAGTGCAAATCATAAGTTCTTACTTCCCCCATGCTCATCCTAAGTTATTCCAAGCTAGCTCAATGTCACAATCCGTGACTTTTTGCAAGGTTAAAGTGGTCCGGAGTGTTCTAGAACCCTCTAAGAGGTTCTCGAGTTAACCTTAAGAGAGTATTTCAAGGCATTCAAGAGGAATCTAGAACGTTCCAAAATGTTCTAGAAGCATCTAGAACAATCTAGAAATATCTAGATCAATCTAGAAGAATTAAAAAGGTTCCAGAAGCTTATGGAAAGATGTGGAGATACTTAAAATATTTTGGGATACTCTAGGATGTTTTAAAATGTTCCAGACATGTCTTGAGATAGTTTCTAGATAATTACATGTAAATATCTAGATATTCATTGTAAATATCTAGGAGACAAATCTAGAAGATCAATGATAGCTGTAGGATTGATTTAATCTCCACCATTCATTAAGGAGGTGGAAATTTTCTAGAATCAATGGGAGGTCTATAAATACCTCATCCCTCCTCATTTGTAAACCATCATTGAATTCCTCTCATCTTTGAGTTCTCAAAGAATACAACTCTCCCAAAAAACTCTTAACTATCATTTACTCTCAAGCTTTTTTTTTTCCTCAACTTAGCAAAGTATTTTCTTCTTGAACAAATTAGGCTTACTTATCATCTTCCATTGAAGAGTATCTAAGTGCCATACGGGTCGAAAGACTAGTCTCGTGACAGTTGGTATTAGAACACAGTTTAACCTTTGTGCTTATAGGAAGTTATTGCATGATGGCAACTGAGGAAGGAAATGTTATTGGCATGGAAGTTCAAGAGCAAGCTTGTGTACAAGAGGAGCACGATCATACCAAGTCCAAGCAAACCAAGAGCAAGGTCCTAGCAGATGAGTCCCTTGAACCCTGAGTTGCTAGCTTGGAATCTCACATAGAGAATATGAGGTGCACTGTAGGGAAACTCGATGATCAACTCAGCAATCTCGTCCAAGAGAATGCTGAGGTTACACGTGCTGTCAAGTTGATGATTGAAGAGCCTGGCTGTGATCTTGGGAAAGATCTCCATTCCCTTACACATGATCTTGCTGACCTTAGCAAGTATGTTGAGGACAAGTTGTGAGGTCTATACTCTCAAATGGATGAGATTTTCCATGAGTAGGAATCTCATCGACGTGTAGGCAGTCCTATTAGTGATAGTACTTCAAACACCACTTCTTAGGGATTGAAGGTGCCTAAACTAGCAACATATAATGGGGCTCATAATGCGAAAGTTGTGGAGAACTTTCTCTTTAGCCTAGAATAGTACTTCGAGGCCATAGGGTTTACTGTGACTTGATCAAAATCAATAATGCTTCAACTTTTCTTTAAGATGTAGCCTAACTATGGTGGCACAGAAAGCATGTTGAGAGAGAGAAAGGCATTTACACTCTTAACACATGAGAGCTGTTCAACTCAAAACTCTACAAGCACTTTCTTCCCCATAATGCAGAGATAGAGGCTAGAGGTAAAATTTATAGGTTGAGACAAAATAATAGTATTCCTGACTACATCAAAGAGTTTACTACCATCAGGCTAGAGATGAGGACCTATCTGACAAGGAAGCTCTTTTCCACTTCATGGATGGGCTCAAAGATTGGGCTAGAGTAGAACTCAACAGACGCAAGGTTCAAACTCTAGATGAGACAATTGCGGCTGCTGAGTGCCTAATTGACTACTCTACCAAGACCAAGAAGTCTAATCCTGGTAAGAGTGGGGGAGACAAAGGAGGACAAAAGAAGAGTTCTGATTGTAAGGATGGTGGTAAATCCTTTCGTGGAAGTTCTAAACAGGATAAACTGTCCTTAACCAAGCGTGATCCATCAAAGCTACTAGAGCCATATTTCATATGCAATAATCCACATTGGACTCATGACTGCCCCAACCGTAAAGCAATGAATGCCTTAGCTACTAAAATAAAGGAAAGGCTAGATAAGGAGTAACAGGTTGACCATGGTTCCCTCCAATACTTGAATACACTGACTAGAATCTTTTCCTCCATCTAAAAGGAAGAGAAAGGTCTACTTTATGCTGATCTTGCCATCGAAGGAAAGTCTGCCTTTGCTGTACTCAATATAGGAGCATCCCATAACTTCATGGAGGTTAAAGAAGCAAAGAAATTAGGCATCCAATTCGACAAGGGAGAAGGCACCATCAAGGCGATAAACTCCCCAGCCAAACTGTAACCTCCTAAGAGACTAAACTACAATTGACTCTAAATTACGGCAATCTAAGATTTAACCCTCAAAGGATTACCAATTGTAAAATTTTATAAAAGGAATTTCTCAAAATTCTTTCAAAAGAATCCCAATTTCAACAATTTAAATCTCAAACATGATTTAATAAGTCTAAATCAAAGTTTTGAAAGTAAAGCGGAAGCTAGGAAATCAATTAGGACGCAAAATAATGAGTTTTAAAACTCAAAAATAGATTTTGTGAAGAAAGTGTCATGTGCACCGGGGCTTACGGCACATGCGCTACGGCGTATCTTCTCTGTGCCATGTACCGCGGCGTGAGGTGCCATGCGCCATGATGCATTGCATGAAATTTGACAACATTAGTGCTATCATTTAATAGCACAGGGAGCAAATTTCTAACACGTCCTAAATCTCCCTCCGATGTCCCATTAAGGTGGTTTTGGTGTCTACACAGAGCTTTCTCCCAACTGACCTCTGCCACAGTGCATGGCACAGAGGAGCTCGTTATTCAATTCATGTATGTGCACCGTGGTGGACTAACCACGCACTGCGGCATGCGGCACAGAGAATAATTTTTCACTTTTTCTTCCTCTTTCCTTGCCCGAGTGGCCCGCCATTGATCCGGACACAATTCTAGGGCTAAAATCATAACAATTATGTCAAGTTAAGCCCCTCTGACCACACACCTCATTAACTCACTAATTATCCTTATTAGGTTAATAAATTAGAGTTAAAATTTCTCAAATGTTACACAAACAAGTCCTTGGGATCGTCAAGGATGTGAAAGTGAAGATCGAGGACTGGTAAGGTATGCTAAACTTCACTATTATCCTTATGGATGATTTCAAAGTTGTGTTGGGACTTGTTTTCTTCTATAAAGCACATGCCTTCCATATTCCTGAAGCTAAGTCTCTGGTGGTTATCAACTCCAAATTCAAGTAATCCCTTTAAAGCGCTTGAAGAAATCCAAACTTATGATTTCTGCCTTGCAATTTAAGAGGGGTCTTAAGAATTCAAAAGGCTACATGGCCAACGTACGTTCGTTAGCTGAAGAAAAGGATAGTACAACTAACACACAAGAAGCTTTGCCACCTTGCATCCAAGAGGTGCTGCAGGAGTACAAATATGTCATGCCTGATGAGTTACCAAAGAAACTACTTCTTAGAAGAGAGGTAAATCATCAAATTGAGTTAGAGGCTGGTGCCAAACCACCTACCTTGGCACCTTACCACATGTCACCTTCAGAACTTGTTGAATTAAGGAGATAACTCTAAGATCTCCTTGATTATGGGTATATCCAACATTTAAGGCCCCATATGGTGCTCCAGTTCTCTTCGAGAAGAAGGATGGATCACTATAGATGTGTATCGACTATCGGGCCTTGAAAATCACTATCAAGAATAAGTATTT